AAGCTGGTTGGCCAAATAGTCCCTTGAGGGCTAAGACACTTGTTCATTTCCCTAAATTAATGAAATATTAACTGTTATACTTATAACCATGTATACACACTCCATAAAGCCCCTATTTTACAAATAATAATGCAATCAGGAGATGGTGTGATGCAATGAGCGGTTTCCACATTTTTAAACATTTAAAATGAATGAAAACAACGTGCACAGTCATCAAAGACGCGAGTGCGCATACAGTCGTGGAAAACTATGTGTTCGGCAGTTAAAGACACGGCGTGTCTGTGGAGTGCAACAATGGGAACAATGTGCTCAGTAATTAAAGAGGCAGGGCGGCGTTTCTGTTATTTGGTTTGTGACATCCTTACGGGAAACGCCGGCACAAGGCTGCTCACAGTGCTTTGTCACATGTCGCACCAGAACCGTTTTCGGAAACGAAACTTAGAAATTGCTCACGGTTCCGGTTCTTTTCAAAAAACAGAACCGGTTCTGAATAAGAACCGGTTCTCGGTTCCCAACCCTACTCATTATCTATAAACTCTCATGTTGTTCCAAATCTGTATAACATTCTTTTATCAATGAAAAGATTAGGTTTAGCAGAATGTTCTTACCATTCTACAAAAAAGCACCATAAAAGAATGCCAAATGACTAAGGATGAATTACAATTCCAGTCACTGAGAATTATCAGCCTAAAGTGCCATTTCAGGTTTCCAGAAAGAGTAAATGTGAATGGAAATCATTACTTTGGTTAGATATGTTTAAAAAAAAACATGCAATTATGCATAAACTATTCAAGGTATACTGCATACTAACAGTGATAATGATTTTTTTTTCTTCTTTTGTATTACAAAGAGATTTCACATGCATTCTGCTATTTCTCGTTTAAGATTTTTAAAAATGTTAAGAGCTTAAATGTTAGTGAAATAATGCCAACTGAGGAAAAACCAACTGTCAGAGAATAATTTTAAAATTAAATTATCCAAAATATCTGTTTTTGGCCAAGATATTTAAATTCATCACCATATACAACTTGTATGCTATATATAAGTGCCCCAAATGACAGTAGATAATATGCACTTAAACTGTACTATGTACTGTCTAGCACATGACATTTGAATGGCTAGTTTGTGTCAGAATCTGATAGCCTGTTCCCTTCCTCTATGTAATTAAAGCTGTAACAATTAATTGCATGAAGTGTCTAACATTCAACACTTACTTTTTTTTTTTAAAGGGGTGGTTGATTGCGATTTCACTTTTTTTAACGTTAGTTAGTGTGTAATGTAGCTGTTTGAGCATAAACAATATCTGCAAAGTTACAATGCTGAAAGTTCAAAGCAAACGGAGATATCTTTTAAATGTTATGGCAGTTTAATGTCTACAAAAACGGCTGGTAGGGACTATGAGTTACTTCTTGGGTTTGTGACATCAAGGCAAGGCAAGGCCATGTTGCGCTGCTTTAGAGAAGAGGAAGAGTTGTTGCCATGCCGTCAAAACTAGGGGTGCACAAAAAAAAATCTATTCATATATGAATC